CTGCTTTTGTTCTGAAGGGACATGCCGGATGTGTATGTGAGCTCACTTCCGCCTTCCTGGTTCGCTGACGCGATACTCATGGCCACGGCTCGTATTACGCCGTGCTGCCGAGTTGTTCGAACCCAAGAGAATAAACATCTCTGAAATGATCATCTGAACGAGTCTTATAATTACACGAGTCTACCGGCCACTCTTCGTGATCATCACCTCCTCAACAGGTTATGGGCCCAGGCACAGAGGCAAGCGGCGCCAGCGAGAGGCTACCTCATGGAGTTAACAGAAGCTACTCCATGAAGAGGTGCGAAGATAGATATGAGCCAAAGAAAGACAAGACGTGGTAAAGCGAACGTGACGCATTACACGGAGCTTATAATTGATATTGAGAGTGCAATTTTATAAAGGCAAGCAACAGCGTGGAAAATAACGCAAGTGGAGAAGCTAAAGCTAAGATTGCTAAAGACACGTTTTTGGCACACGAGGAGTGACAAGATGGCGGCGGCTCGTACTTTTGGAGGCCTATCCCCACAAATGTTCTTCGACGGATCTGAAGACAAGTATGATCTTTGGGAAACGAGATTTTTGGGACATCTACACTCATTGAAGCTAAGAGAGACTATTTTGAATGAACCCATCAGCCAGGAACAGCGAGATGCAGACGGAGTAAAGAATCAAGACTGCTATGCTGAATTAGTAAGACTGATTGATGATAAAAGCCTGTCACTTATTAGACATGAAGCAACCTATGATGGCAGGAAGGCTCTGAAAATACTGAGAGAACATTACTCAGGGAAGAGTAAGCCACGAATCATCAATCTGTATACGTCTTTGACAAAACTACACAAAGAGGAAAACGAGTCAACCACGGACTATATAATCAGAGCAGAGAACCTGATTACAGCGCTTCGCGATGCTGGTGAGACTCTCAGTGACGGTTTGATAATTGCCATGATTCTTGGAGGTTTGCCAAATGTGTACAAACCATTGGCCGTACATATTACGCAGAATGAAGACAATGTGACATTTTCTGACTTCAAAAGAAGGTTGCGTATATATGAAGAATCTGAGAGAATCACGACAACCGAAACCACAGACAATTTGATGAAAACAAATGCGCGGCAAGAAAGAAACTACAAGAAGTCCACGAACAACAAAGAAGAAAGTGATGACTCGAACATTACATGTTTTAAATGTGGACTAAAAGGGCATAGAGCAAGAAAATGCACCAGAAAAGTATGGTGTGGTGTCTGCAAGAACAACACACACCAGGAATCATTGTGTAAAAAGAAGGAGAAGCAGGACACAGCGAGAAAAATCACAGAGGAAGACAACAATGACTACTTCTTCAAAATCCAAGCCAAGAATGATGAATGGATGCCCAAGGTCAAGATGAAAGGCATTATGGTGGACGCCGGAGCGACATCCCATATTGTCAACGACAAGCGGATCTTCATCAACTTCGACGAAACATTCCAACCCGAGACTCATTCAGTGGAGCTTGCTGACGGAACGCGATGCAGTGGAATGGCCAAAGGCAGAGGAACGGCGGTGATACATCTTCTGGACGGCAAGGGGCACACGCGCAGAGCACAACTGAGGAACGCTCTGTACATGCCTTCGTACCCCCACAACATCTTTTCGGTGTCCAGAGCTACAGATGGTGGAGCAACGGTAGTCTTCAGACAAGGAGACTGTCACATGATCACCCAAGACGGTAATAAGTTTGAGATAAATGAGAATGAAAAGCTGTATTACCTACCTACTGTTGATAACAATGATCAGTGTCACGTATGCCATGATATACAAACCTGGCATGAGATCCTAGGCCACTGTAATTTTGAGGATATTGTCAAAATGCAGAGTGTGGTAAAAGGTATGGACATTAAGAGTGATGTTGCAAAATCAGAACAGATGTGTGAGATTTGTACTCAAGGCAAGTTTACTCAAACAAGAAGTAGAGAACCAGACATAAAGGCAAAGAAGCCACTTGAGTTTGTTCACACTGACTTGACAGGTCCAATGAAAACTACAAGTTTAGAAGGATACAAGTATGCACAGACTTTTACAGATGATTACTCTGGT